TCTTTCTTTTTCTTTCTTTCTTTCTTTCTTTCTTTTTTAATTGTATCTCAACTCTCTGGCTTTGTGTCATAGACAGTATAATTTTAAGTATACTATTTCTCAAGAGTTTTTCAGCTGTAAAGTGACAGGAATGAAATTCAACTTGAACTTCTTTAAGCAAACTATAAAAGGCCACCGCAGGGGAGGTGGAGTTTGGTTGTTATCGTTGGTTCACGCAGCTGTGAGGATTTGGGAGGCAGGTAATAGAATCTAAGGGAGATCTACCAGAAGCCAGGGCCTTGGAGTGAGGAGTGGAATCTCAATGCTCCTCTCCTCTGCCTGCACGTTGGAATCATTCTCCCCTGCTACAGTCAGACTTCCTCTATGTAGCCAGGGAAGATGGCCACCAGCAAGGCCATGCTCTCACTCCAAGTAAACAATTCCAACAAGAAAGAGAGAGCAGTTTCCTTCCAGCCTCCTTACAGCAGTTTTCAGAAAGAATTTTAATTGGCCCTGCTAAGGTCACATGTTCAATCTTTTGCTCCAATCAGTTTCCAAGGATGTAGAGCTCTATGATGGGCTAATACCGTTGCTGGCATTGAAATGCACCTCCCAGATTCTCCTCAAGAAGGCTGGTTGCCCAGCTGCAAGGAGTGTGGTTAGCTGGTAGGTTTTGTCTGGTGGTGTTCTGGTGGCTCCCATGCTCAGTTCTTCTTCCTCTTTTCTTTTCACAGATGTTACCCTCCAATAATCTTTCACAAACCTAACCAACCTGGGATGGGACCCACGCCCTCCCTGGGACCTGCACCACACCACCAGAACCATATACAATATGGGTGAACAGGTTTTATTTCATTTCAAATAAATGAATAATTTGTGTTTAATAATTATTTATAAACAATTGTAAGACAGGTTGTTTTGAGTAATGGTGTACTAACAATCATGGTAATGATAACTCAAACCAGAATAAACTTTTGATATTTAGATTTTTATTTTATTTTATTTTTATTTTTTAGAGATGAGGTCTCACTCTGTCACCCAGACTCAAGTGCAGTGGCATGATCATAAAAAGAGCTTAATTTATATGATGTGCCTGCTTTTGCTGCACAGAACTATGACAGAGTGATGAAATAAAAGACTTTCAGAAATAAAAATACCTACATTAGGATAAAATTCTGTGGGAAAATCAGAAGTGAAATGCAAGTTGGTGAGGAACAGGAACAATGTAAATTTTCTGACTACTAAAGAGCTTGTTTGAGCATTTTTAAAATAGGTGTGTATTGGTAGTAAATTGCCATGGAGCAATCTGGAACTGAAGAGATAGCACAGGGGGCCAGCCACCACCAAAAAAAGGAGTACGGACTCCTCCGGGATTCTCAGAAATACTTTCAGAATGAATGGGAACCTAATCAATGCCTCAGCATCATGAAGTTGGGACCTCAAATTATTGTTATTGGTATTGAGACGAACAGAGGCCCTTATAAACACCTAAGAATAAGGAGACATGGAAGTTCCATTATCTACGTATACATATTACTACTTTCCAGTTGAAAATAAGTGCCATATTAATTAATTAAAAATACATTGCCTTGGCTGGGCATGGTGGCTCTCGCCTGTAATCCCAGCACTTTGGGAGGCTGAGATGGGTGGACCATGAGGTCAGGGGTTTGAGACCAGCCTGGCCAACACTGTGAAATCACATCTCTACTAAAAATACAAAAATTAGCTGGGTGTGGTGGCATACGCCTGTAGTCCCTGCTACTCAGGAGGCTGAAGCAGGAGAATTGCTTGAACCTGGAGGCAGAAGTTTCAGTGAGCCTAGACTATCCCGTTGCACTCCAGCCTTGGAAACAGAGCAAGACTGTGTCTCAAAAAACAAAAAATTGCCTTAATCCATTCAAGAATCCCTACAACCACCTCTTGCCTAGTGTAAGTTAGCACTGCTGAAGATCTGATAAATACATGTGTTGGCCAGGTGCCGTGGCACACACCTGTAATTCCAGTACTTTAGGAGGTGCTGGAAATTCCTTATGGCAATCAAAGGTATTTGAAAAACCTTTCCAATTTATTATATAATAAAAGTGACAAGTCAGGAAAAGATGAACTTTGTGATAAGCAGCATTGTTATAACTGTATAATCTTAAAGCCAAAATTGGATCTGTTTCTCACATTGTATATGAGAATAAATTCAAATTAGATGAGATATTTAAATGTAAATAAACCATACAAGATCTAGAAGAAAATATGAGTAAATTCCTTTATAATCTAAAAGTGAGGTAAATTTTCCTAAGACATTTCAAAAAAAATAAGAGGATAATTTCTAATCTTGTGGCTAGTAAATAAAAAGAAAGAAAGAAAGAAGAGGAAAGATTAACCATTTTTACTATATGAAACCTTAATTTTAAAAATGCATAGCAAAAAACGAGCAAAGTATGAATTTTAAATCACTTTGTATTTTATCCTTAAAATATGTGTTTATTTCTTTGCTCTAACTCCTGAAAAAGCCCAGTGACAATGAGCACCTCTCACATCTAAATTATGGTCTCTAAATAACATTTCCCACTAAAAGGAGCCAAGACTCCTTGGGAAAATTGTCAATTTCAGGTCCGAGTCAGAAAATACATAAATTGTCATACAAGAAAGCAAGCAATGTTTTAAAAGAACAGTTTTAGCATTAATGGGCCAGGTGCAGTGGCTCACCATTATCCCAGCAGTTTGGGAGGCCTCAGTGAGCAGATCACTTGAGGTCAGAAGTTTGAGACCAGCCTGGCCAACATGGTGAAACCCCATCACAACTAAAAAAACAAAAATTAGCCAGGCATCGTGGCACATGCCTGTAATCCAAGCTACTCAGGAGGCTGAGAATCACCTGAACCTGGGAGGCAGAGGTTGCAGTAAGCCAAGATCACGCCACTGCACTCCAGCCTGGTGACAATGCAAGACTCCCTCTATAAAAATAAAATAACTACAATGGATCAAAATGCACTAAATATGTTTAAATTCATGAGTTCATAACGAAACTAAAAAAACTTTAAGTCATTGGATACTTTTGAAAAATGCTAGGAAACAACTCATTATTTTGAAAACTGGTAAATAGGCTAGGCATGGTGGCTCATGCCTGTAATCCCAGCACTTTAGGAGGCCAAGGTGAGCAGATCACAAGATCAGGAGTTCGAGACCAGCCTGACCAACATGGTGAAACCCCGTCTCTACGAAAAACACAAAAAAATTTAGCCAAGTGTGGTGGCGTATGCCTGTAATTCCAGCTTCTCAGGAGGCTGAGGCAGGAGAATCACTTGAACCCGGGAGGTGAAGGTTGCAGTGTCCCGGGATCACCCCACTGCACTCCAGCCTGGGTGACAGAGCAAGACTTTGTCTCCAAAGAAAAAAAAAAAAGTTTAGAAGATGTAATTGGCTTTTATTTGCAATTCTAGATTCAAGCAACAATCATTCTATGAAATAGACTGCGTGTTCTGGTGAGCTGAGCAGAGAAGTTTGACTTTATAAACAGAAAAGGGCTGAAGAAAGCAGAAACAGAGAAAAGGTAGATTGGTTGTTTCAAAGTTACTTTCCTTATAGGACTAAAACAGAGGACTTCCTTATTACACTGACTCAGGTTGAATGAAATCTCCTGGTTTTTGGAAAACTGGCCCATTTCAATGCTGTTTGATTATATGTCACTTAGCATAAGTGACTCCATTCTGGTTTGGTCTCATCAAAGCTTCCGGGGCTTACAGAAGGAAGCTAGTCCAAAACACTGGCCTCTCACAAATTTTGTTTAACCAAACTTTTGAGAAGTGAAAGTGAGCTGGCACAGCGGAAGGCCCAGGCAGGAGTGCTTGAGGTCAGAGTAAGACAAGCCTGGGCAACACAGTGAGACCCTGTCTCTGAAAAAAAAAAAAGAAGAAGAAGAAGAAGAAGAAAGAAAGAAAGAAAAGAAAAATTTTAAAAATTATCCAGGTATGGTGGTAACTGCTGGTAGGCCTGCAGTCGGAAGGCTTCTGCTACCCAGAAGGCGGAGGCAAGAAGATTGCCTGAGTCCAAGAATTCGAGGTTACAGTGAGCAATGCTGCGTCATCACACTCCAGCCTGGACAGAGCAAGACCCTGTCTCTAAAAAAAAAAAAAAAATTAAGAAATGAGAGTGGCCAACTCTCCTATCATTCACTCTGAAGTCAGTTCTTGGGGATGGGAAATGTTTCCCACCAGAACAAGGCTGTTGTGTGAGGTTGTAGAGTGAGAACGTGTGGCATTATGGCAGACTCTAAGTGCTTAGAGTTCCTTTTCTTTTTCTTTTTTTTTTTGAGTCCCTTTTCAGTCTCAATTCCTAGCTGCCATCTACTAGCCACTTAATATTTCTATGCCTCAGGTTCCTTGTCAAATGAGGGTAATAACTGCACCCACCCCACAGAATTGTAGGGAAAATTAAAAATATATATACATACAAAACATTTAAAACAGCACCTAACACATAATCAATGTTAGGGAAACAAACAAATCCAAAGAAGGAGAGAGAAAAAGAGAAATGGCTGTTCAGGTATGGAATTCCAGTTAGCCTGTTTTTCTTCCAAATACTAAACTCCACAATAAAAAGATGGCAACATGGCCAGGTGTGGTGACTCACACCTATAAACCCAGCACTTTGAGAAGCCAAGGCAGGAGGATCACTTGAGCCCAGGAGTTTGAGACCAGCCTGTGCATCATACTGAGACCTCATTTTTAAAAAAACAAATAAATAAAATAAAAATTTAAAAATAAAAAAGATGGCAACAAATATATACTAAATATTTATTGTATTAAACGGGGAAAGTACATTTAAAAATCAGAAAGCTCTGCAGACATGTAAAACCAATCAAACTATGTAATGAATCAAACCCTTTCCCCACTAAAAAGCCGTATGAGTGTACCTAACACAACGTAGATAAAGGAACACACCTTATTTGGCAAGAGATACATTCATTCTCAAGATAAGAGAAACACACTTTGAAAACTACTTCTGCTGGATTACGCTGGCCAATAAGAGCGTCTGAAACTGGTCTTTGTACTATGCTCTGCAATAGAAACACAGTTACCTCTCCCCTTTCATGCAGCTTTCATTTGTAGTGAGATTCTCTCCCAGGCCACAAAACACTTCCTGCTTGGAACCTATTTACTAATTGTAAGTATTTTACAATTAAGTATTTCTTTTAAAAACTTAGCACTGAAAAAAAATGCTTTCTTTAAAAGTTATTTGATTTTGTTTTTTCTTAATATATTTTCAGTTTCAGCTAAAATATTAATGTTTTCTTATCTCATTCCTTTAAATTTATGCATTTAGTCAAATTCAACAATTTCATGCTAAGCATTTTGCCTGATGCCAGACTTTTCTAAGTAGTGTAAGATCCCAACCGTGAATCCTCATCAACTGCTGCTTTCTGCGGCAAACACATATTACGCATTGTATTTAGTAACAGGATCATTAATTTCACTCTTTATTTCAATATGTATGCATGTTGACTTACGCTAGTCTAATTCTTTCTGCTTTACACATATTCTATTTTATCCATTCAAAATATTTAGAAACAAGATATGGAATTTTGTAGATTTAACTAAAGAATTATAAGAATCCTTGAATTCTCACTATGAAAGTAAGAAATTGCTTCAAAATTAAATTCTGCTGCTTCATTTATATGTATAAAGAGAGATGGAGAGATTATGAAATGGAAATGCTTCAATGAAAGCAAAAAATGAAATTTAACATCAATAAACAGTAGAAAGAAGAGAAAAATCTCAATAATATATCTAGTGTCTCGATTAATCAATATTAGTAATATGTATTAGTATTACTGTAATTAATATCATATTAATATTAGTGTATTTTAATAAGCAGATGGGCTGTCCTCAGGAGTGAGGTGTTCATGGGAAGGAGAGACAAATACAAGATTGATTCTTTTTTTTTTTTTTTTTTGAGACGGAGTTTCGCTCTTGTTACCCAGGCTGGAGTGCAATGGCGCGATCTCGGCTCACCGCAACCTCCACCTCCTGGGTTCAGGCAATTCTCCTGCCTCAGCCTCCTGAGTAGCTGGGATTACAGGTACGCGCCACCACGCCCAGCTAGTTTTTTGTATTTTTAGTAGAGACGGGGTTTCACCATGTTGACCAGGATGGTCTCGATCTCTCGACCTCGTGATCCACCCGCCTCAGCCTCCCAAAGTGCTGGGATTACAGGCTTGAGCCACCGCGCCCGGCCAAGATTGATTCTTAACTAAAACTAATATATAAAATTAAGATGTTTAAAATATCAGCCAAATAAAGCAAGATTTCCTGACATTGAGATCATTCCACAGAAAGAAATTCCTAAAGAAAGGTATTCTAGTCTCATTCTCCAAAGCTAACCCACCAAGATTCTCATTTCCTCCTCCGCCACTTTTCCTGCATTTTCCAAGGTGGCCCTGACAACTTTTTTATCTGCTCCGGTGGGGTTACAGATTGCATGAAACAAAACAGCTGTTTGGTCACACAGCAATGGGCAGAACTGCTGGCCATGGATAGGAAACCTCAGGCGTCTCCTTAGCCCTTACTAAATCCAGCACAAGACTTTTACACACCCTGGCACACAATAAAATATTTGCCGAGTTAAATTGGATCTGTAGTTATTAGCATCAGAAGAGAAATAAGGTCGTGGGTTACAGTGTGCCCTGCAAGGCTACTGGCAAATTAGAATCTCTTAAAGTGCCCGCGATGCTGCACCGGCCCCGCAGGTGGAGGGAGAGGAGCTAGTTTGGAATGTGTTCCTGGTGTGGCGGGAATCAGAGACTAATGGCTGGAACGGGAGGATTTTAGTTAGGTGCAATGGCTCAGCGGATTCGCATCTAAAAGCCTGAGCCTTGAACAAAACCAGGGCTTGACTTTTATACTTGCATCTTTGGCGAAACGCAGTGGCGCGAGAACGGGTTATAGAAGCAGAAGAAAGGCAGTTTATTAAACAGTGACAGGCTTATAACTCAGGCTTTCTTGTGACTTGCTATGCAGCCTAGGTGGCTGTTAGCTAGGCTTCCTTAGGATGCTTTTATAATCCTATCTCGTGTCCTTCGCTATGGCGCCTAAATGGCTGTGATGCAACCTTGCTCAAACATGTCTTTTGACCTCTGCGGTGCCTCTCAGATGAAAGACAGAAACTCACAGTCATTAGCTACAGGAAACAGGAATCTATAAACTCATATTGCAGAGCTCCCACGGAGGACGGTGGGAATTCAAAGGGAAGTTGCTCATATACCAAAGGAAAGGAAAAAAAAATTTCTTCCCCCATCTCCTGCTTCACTAGGAATGCAGGAGGCCAAGGTATACTGCTTTTCAAATTCTCACCGAAGCAGCTACGTGCTCGCCAAGCCGTGTCTATGAGAGGGGCCTCCTTTTTCTAGTTTATAGGACAGAACCATGGCATAAGGGCAGCAGCTCTGCGGGTGCGCCTTACAGATTCTTAGACCCTAGCTCATTCTATCTAAATCGCCATCTCTGAACAGTGTCGAATTCTACATTGCACAGATTCCTCAACCCTAGCTCATTCTATCTCACAATCTCTGAGCGGTGTCTAGCACTCTGCATGGTAAGCAAGCTGTCCAAGTGGTTTTTACTAAGTAAGCTTTGAGGACCACTGAACTAAGGAGACAAGCTGGTACCTAAGGTCCTAGAAAATCTAGATTTTCAAGAAGATTTCTCTCCACTTATTGTTGACCTTTTACTTTGAATGGCTAAGGCTAAAGGCTTAACAGCTGAAGCAAAGAGAATTACGGTTGTTTGGAACAAGCAGTTTTGCATTTGTTTCTGTTTTATATTTCGCAACTTAAAAGATACCTCAAATTTTTAAATGATCACAGAGGCACATACAAATGAGTATGTGTTTGCTTTCTCCTCTCGGTTTTATAACTACCAAGAAGGTATTTCTTTGAATAAGGTATCTCACAGGAGAAGTTATTTAGACCCTTTTTAGAACAAGCTAGAAGTGACAGATGGAAGTCCTGGATAGCAGTTCCCTTTAGGACTCTGCAGCGATGAGCTGAGTAGCCTTCTTCACCTATACAGGTAATCTGCACTAGAGAGGAACTTATAATAGCATCGGAAACCTCCTGGGGCTCCCCCATTGTGCTCCAGTTCCTAGCAGCTAATATTCACAGAAGCACCTGGGTCCCTGCAATTTCCCGCATTCAAAAGAAGAAGTCAAAAGTACAAAAGCAGTGAAGGAAACAGAAACGTAACAATGTTGACTGTTGGGCTAAAGACTGTTTAGGCTACTACATGGAGAAAGTAAATGTTCACGCAAACTAACAGGCAGTTAGCATATGGATATTTGAGATAACAGCTGCCTACTACAGAATATAAAGATGGCCACTGAGTGGACTTCAAAGGCACTCAAAAAATGTTCAGGACTCGGGCTGGGCGCGGTGGCTCAAGCCTGTAATCCCAGCACTTTGGGAGGCCGAGGCGGTGGATCACGAGGTCGAGAGATCGAGACCATCCTGGTCAACATGGTGAAACCCCGTCTCTACTAAAAATACAAAAAAACTAGCTGGGCGTGGTGGCGCATGCCTGTAATCCCAGCTACTCAGGAGGCTGAGGCAGGAGAATTGCCTGAGCCCAGGAGGCGGAGGTTGCGGTGAGCCAAGATCGCACCATTGCACTCCAGCCTGGGTAACAAGAGCGAAACTCCATCTCAAAAAAAAAAAAAAAAAAAAAAAAAAAATGTTCAGGACTCAAGCTGCTATGAAGTCTAACTTTAGCCAATTTGAATACACAAGCACATATGCAATACACTAAGTAAAGATATTCAGGAAAAGGAAAAACAATTAGATAATTGCAGAGCAGTTTTTATTCTGAAATCTTCAGATTGCTGTTATTATATTAAAAATCACAATATAGCCTTCTTAAACCAAAGTAAGTGGCTAAATGAACATGTTTTCACTCTGAAAGAGCTGTCGGATCATCTCTATTGAATACCAGTTTCATGCCAAGCATTGGCTAGGGGCCAAGAGAGAGAGAAGGAAAAAAAGCACAAACAGCTGTAGTATCATTTGTATGACATGCCCCTCCCTTTTTTTTCCTGAGATAGTCTCCTTAAAAAAAATTTTTTTTTCTAGTCACTGGATTTGCTTTTTGTTTCTGAAAAGGATATTTCTTGTTTCGATTATAAAAGAAATAAATGATCATACAAAAAAAATTCTCAGCCATGTAATAGTGGCTTACACCTGTAATTCCAGTGCTTTGGGAGGCCAAGTTAGGAGGATGTTTTTCCTCTGAAAAGGAAGGAGCTCAAGGTCAGCTTGGGCAACATAGTGAGACCACCGTCTCCACAGAAAAGGAAAACAAATTAGCCAGGCATGGTGGTGTGCGTCTGTAATGCCGGTTACTCAGGAGGCTGAGGTGGGGGGGATCACTGGAGCCCAGGAGTTCCAGGCTGCAGTGAATTACGGTCCTGCCTTTGCACTCCTGCCTGGTCAACAGAGAGACCTTAACACAAAACAACAACAACAAAAAGTCTATCAGCCAGTCACCCTGGAATAAACCACCTGACATTACTGACAAATAGCCTTTCGTATTTTTTCTCGTATTTGATTATTAAGATGAAATGCGGATAAAATTTAAATACATATTCTCTAGCATTTCTTGTAATGCTTCTTCGTCTAACATCCCAAATGAGGGAAGCCATCACCCGAAAATATGGTTTCGATCATGTTAATACTGGAGTTGGGATTTCGGAAGATCTGGGCCCCACCTGTGGAGGTCTAAAGAGTCAGGTGAAATATTCACCTTGTTTGCGTTTCCAGGGCTGGGCTCTAGCCGGTGTTTGCTGTGCACCATCTGGAGCCTGCATCACCCAAGGCCTCCGCCAGGCGGGAAGCGAGAGCTAGGTGGCGGGGGCGCTAGTGAGCACCCCTGTGTACCAGGTCCCGAGCTAAGGTTTTCAGACACCTCAGCGAACATAGCCCACAAAATTCCCTGGGTGGGGATTTGGGACTTACTTTTCCCAAAGCCAAGCTAATCATTGTAAAAGGGGTCATCACGAAAACGGAATCATTGCAATGTCCTTACCTCCTATTTCATGAGGTTGGCGGCACGAGTGTGTCTAGAGAGCTGTGGTTGCTTCCTCTTACACTGAAAAGTAGGCATGTTCAGCAGGACCAGAATCCAGGGCCCATCTAAGATGCATTCAAATCAGCGCGGGGAGCGGGGCTGGTAGTGTCTGATATTACTTTCCGATCTGAGAGTTGCTCAGCGCATACCAACTGATAAAAACTTTTTACAATTTACAAACGCCGGGTGAGCCTGGGCGCCCGGGGCCACAGAGCGGCGCCCGCCCCCACAGAGGCTCTTGGAGCCTGCGGCTGGGGCTGAACCCCCGGACCGCAAGCCCGCTCCCCGGTTCACGCCGAGCCCCCAGCGGCGCGCCGCCCAGGCGAGCGGTCCCCGGAGGGCAGCCGCCCGCAGGCGCCTCTCCCTGATGGCGCCAGCAACAACAGGCGGTCTCTTTGGGATGGATTCTGTGCGGGCTGCCCTAGGATTTCACCGGCAGGCAGGTCTGGTCCCCGCAAAGGAGACCCAGGAGTCCCAGAGCGGCGCTGGCAGGAGGCAGGATGCTGGATGCGGGGTGTGGGATGTGGGATGCGGGGTGTGGGATGCGGGGTGCGGTGTGTGGTCCAGGAGCCCTGCGCGCAGCTGCAGCTCAGGGTCCCCTTCCCCGGTGCAGAGCGAGCGGAGAAAGTAAGGAGCCCACCCATCCACTCCCCGCCTCCTGAAGCCCCTGCTTCAGATGTCCCTGCAACTTGGGAGGAGCCAGGCTGGCTTTCCGCCTCCTCGATCCTCCTCCCTGGAAGAGGCCCAAAAGCAGGAGCCGCCACGTTCGCCTCGTTGCGGTCACCCGACGACTCTGCCCCCTGCCGGGACTCCTCTGCTGCCACCTACACACCCCCGGCTCCTGCGCGCCCGGAATGATCCGCTCAGCCGGCCCCTCTGGTTTTTTGTTCCCTTATTGAAACTTCTTTGGCAGAAAATCTTGTTTGCTGTGGGATCCACAAATGGTCCGCCTCCCTCTTTTATTGTGAAAGAGCAATAAATAGCTATTATGGTACATTTTAAAAAAAAAAAAACTAATCAAGCAGAAGCCAAAACCACTTTAATGTATATAGAAGGGCACATCTAATACATTTAAAGTAAACTCCAGCTATTCTGAATACAGTTTATAGTATTTCTATTTTTATTTATTTATTTTTACTTTGCTTCCTCTTGAATGGTATTTTTTTATTGCATTTTAGGTTTGGGGGTACATGTGAAGAACATGCAGGGCATCGTGATGTGCTGCCTTCCTCCCCATCACCTATATCTGGCATTTCTCCCCATGCTGTCTCTCCCCAACTCCCCACCCTCCGCTGTGCCTCCCCTATTTTCCCCGACAGACCCCAGTGTGTGATGCTCCCCTCCCTGTGTCCATGGGGTATTTTTATTTAAGGAGAAATTACTTAGAATGAGCCTGTTAAGGTGGGTAGGTCAGAAACCCCGTTTTACAGATTAAGTGAACTTTTAAATGACTAGTCTAAGATCACAGTTTCAGAAACTAAGATTTGGGCAAAGACGTTCTCACTCCGAATCTAATTCATGTTACGTTCTCACTCCGAATCTAATTCATGTTCCATGACGTAGAGAAATGAGGAGTAATCTTACCAAGTGTGCTTCGTAATAAATTGTCCCTACCAGGCAGCAAGGTCTATCAAGCCAGTGCTGACACAGGATTGCAGGCTCCCAGGAAATACAAAGTGAAGGACCAGTCAGGAAGCGGGAAGGCTGGAAAGGATTGCTCATCCGAAATCCGTCCAAAGCAAAAAGGAGCAGAATAAATTAGGAGCAAGAAGGGTGTATATACACAAAAGTTTAGGATGATGCCTTTTAAAACGCGCGCTCTGAATGAAGAGACCCCGAAATAGGCTTTGTGTGAGCAACATGGCTGTTTATTCACCCGGGTACCGGCGGACTGAGGCAGAAAAGGGTGTCAGCGGAGGGCGGAGGGATAGGAGTTGGTTTTACAGGTTTGGGGTAAACAGTGAAAAGTTGGAGTTGGCGGTTCTTTTTGCAAGCTGGGAGGGGATCATAGGGTATGGAGTCACGAGATTGGCCAAAGTCCGTTACAAAGTCCAATGATTTGTCAATTGAGGCCGAAAAGAGAAATATCAGAAAATGTCTCCGAGTTAAGTAGGCGCCCAGGGGTTGATCATTTCTGCCTCTTTTCATAATCTTCCAGTTATTTCAGGTTTTCTAATTCCGGAAAGCCCTCCAGAGGTGTGTGTACGGTTCATGGGAGTCTCCATGCCGTCCACTGCAAAGTCAGACCTTACAATGCCATTTCAGAGAATGCTAATTTCCATAATTCACTACTTTCGTCCACTATCACACGTTGCTCATTTGTTTCCCTGCCTTGTGTGGATACCAGGTACTGTCTAAAAACAGCACATGAACAACCCTGTTCCGCTCCCTTATCCCATGAGAAGCAACTGTTCACCTTCCCAGTTCGGTGAATTCTGTGGTTTTTGGCTTTTGGTTTGTTTGTTTGCTTTTGGTTTTTGTTTTGGTTTTATTGAGACGGAGTCTCACTGTCGCCCAGGCTGTCGCACGATCTCGGCTCACTGCAACCTCTGCCTCCCCGGTTCAAGTGATTCTCCTGCCTCAACCTCCCAAGTAGCTGGAATTACAGGCACGCGCCACCACGCCTAGCTAATTTTTTCCATTTTTAGTAGAGACGGGTTTCTCCATGTTGGCCAGGCTGGTCTCGAATTCCTGACCTCTAATGATCCTTCTGCCCCCGCCTCCCAAAGTGCTGGGATTACAGACTTGAGCCACCACGACCAACCCGCCCAGTTTGGTGAATTCCTTCTTCCCACCCCCAGGGCCTTTATCCTGTGAGGGGTGGAGATAGAAATTCTGTTCTTCAAACAGAGCAACTTCCTCTACACTGCCTCAGCTCAGTGCCTCTAAAGAGGGCCTTTCAAGAGCAACCTCGAGATTTCTAACCCTGCTCTTTCCCTTTTCAGCCCACAGCTTTTAAAGCCCTGCACTGAAAATGCAAGCTCAGGCGCCGATGGTCGTGGTTACCCAACCTGGATTCGGTCCCGCATCCCAGAACTCCAACTGGCAGACAGGCATGTGTGACTGCTTCAGCGACTGCGGAGTCTGTAAGTGTGGGGGAAAGGACCCCCTTAATTGATACCGAGGTGAATTACCAGTGACTAAATCTTTCCCCCATTCCTCCCTTATTGTGTAGAAAAAGTTTCTAACTTATTACAGGTACTCCGCATGTCAGGCAATCGTATGTTTAGCAAAAACTAAGCCTCTGTACAGATTATAAGTTAATTTTTCTCCAGCCCTTCAAAGAACAGTGCATTCCTAAAATAAGTTCCAGGTTAAGATAATAGCAAAAGAGCTGATTGATTCTAACAACGAACAGGCCTGGCCTGACTATACATAGACCTTACATTAATTTACAAATTCCAAGTTGAACTTATTTTTTTTAGAAAGACTGTTCTTGTAACATATAAAGTAACCTCATTATTTTATAGTTACATTATGTCCAGTACCCAGGGGATAGTTTTCATCTATGGTTTCCATATGCATTCAGAGAAGAACAATTTTAATTTATATATTTAGGGGTCTTTTCTTCTGTTTGTTTTGAGACGGAGTCTCGCTTTGTCGCCCAGGCTGGAGTGCAGTGGCATGATCTCAGCTCACTGCAACCTCTGCCACCGGGGTTGAAGCGATTCTCCTGCCTCAGCCTCCTGAGTAGCTGGGACTACAGGAGCATGCTACCATACCCGGGTAATTTTTTGTGTGTTTTTACTAGAGATGGGGTTTCACCGTCTCGACCTCCTGACCTCATGGTCCGCCCACCTCAGCCTCCCAAAGTGCTGGGATTACAGGGGTGAGCCACCGCACCCAGCTATATTTAGTTTTATACCTGAGAATGAAGAATTCTGGAGGCAATTGGCTTGTCACTGGGAAAAAAACATCTCTGCTTTGTTTTCTTTTTATAAGCTCTTACTTAAAGATCTCGCTAAATGAACTTGGAGGAAATGAAGTTTGGGGTGAGATGAGCATTGCTGAGAGGAGCAAGGTGCTTAGTTTACAATAATGGCAAACTCACCTACAGAAAACTTGCTCTGAAGTCTGTTTGCTTGTCTTGGTCCACATAGCGCTCTAAGACAAGAAAAGAAAATATGTTATCTTTCAACTTGACAGTTGCAATTGACTTTGAATGAGAGGTGAATTCAACCTTGTCTTTGTTTTTTGTTCTTTGAGACAGAGTCTCACTTTGTCACCCAGGCTGGAGTGTAGCAGTACGATCTCTGCTCACTGCAACCTCTGCCTCCCAGGTTCAAGCAATTTTCCTACCTTGGCCTCTGAGTAGCTGGGATTACAGTCACGCACCACTACACCCGGCTAATTTTTGTATGTTTAGTAGAGACGGGACTTCACTGTGTTGGCCAGGCTGGTCCCAAACTCCTGACGTCAAGTGATTTGCCCGCCTCGGCCTCCTAAAGTGCTAGGATTACAGTTAAGCCACCATGCCTGGCCTGAAATTGAACTTTGAATATGTTGAGAATTATACTTAGTAGCATAGCAAGGGAAAATTACCTTGGGAATGAAAGAATTGAGTTTGTTTATTCACTGTCATTGTCTGGGGTGATGACTTAAGCTTCTCAGGACACTAGTTCAATATCTGGCAAATCAAAGTGAGAATTAGACCACATTGGTGAAACTCTCTAAAGATAAACATTTTAACCCTCTCGCCCCTAGTATCATTATCCAATTAAATGAAGACACGAGTTCTAATCAAAGCTTGATTGCTTAATAGCAGATTTTCTTAAACGTAGATCTGATCAAATTATTCTCCCCTCTTAAAATGTTTCAGTGGTTCCTCATAACTCTCATGACACACTCTTCACACTCACAGTTTTTCATCATCTGGTCCCCAACCTGCCTCAACCCATGGCTAAATCCTTACCCCATCCCAGGGCCCCAGCCATACTGAATAAACACTAGCCTTTGCCAGCTTGTGCCAGATTATCTCAGAGGCTCTTTTCCTTTTTGTCCAACTTTAAAACATCTAATCATCCTTCAGTAGTCAGCTCAAGCAGCATTTCCTACTCAGGGCCTTTGTAGGCCCCATTTCTCTGGGTGACCTGTTGGCACCTTAAACGGATTTCTGTTGGAGAACTTTCCCTATGATCTGCCTTCACTGCTAGACTTGAGCCAGGGGCACTGTCAGAACTGAGGATAATGTCTGCAAAATGACTAAGTTTTACTGCATCAATGAACAAAGGAATGAAGGCCGAATTATGAAAAGAATGATATACTTTACAAAGGGGTGGTCATTCCTGAAATGATTTGGAGGTGAAGGGAGACACGGATGCAAAGCTGAACACTGAAGATGGATTTTGCAGCAGGCTGTGTGGCCAAGGCCCCACGACCTGAACTGCCATTTGCGAAAGCAAGCTAAACTTTCAGCTGTGGCACGGGCAGAGCAGAGTAATGTGTACCCTTGGTTTCATGTGTCTAGGTCTCTGTGGCACATTTTGTTTCTGGTGCCTTGGGTGTCAAATTGCATCTGACATGAATGAATGCTGTCTGTGTGGAACAAGCGTCGCAATGAGGACTCTCTACAGGACCCGATATGGCATCCCTGTGAGTCTCTTACGACACCGTCTCACTCAAATATGCAAGCACATTCACAAAAATTATTATAAACATAGAGATCGTTTGATGTATACATCTTCTGAAACTGATTGAGAAGAGTTCTCTAGCATGTGCAATCTTGCATTCAGTTGCAGCAACAAATCTGGTTATGTGACCTTCTAGGTTCCTGATGAAAACTTCAAATAATAAATAACTCATATTTTCAATGGATGTTATACAATGGAAGAGGACTGTTTAGGATCTACTGTGCCCCACATGCATTACACGTATTACCTCACTTAATCTTCACATCATCTCTGTAAAGCGGGTAGGTCCACACCATTTTGCTGAAGAGAACTTTGAAGTTTTAAAAGGTGGAGTAATTCCCCCAAAGATATTCCCTAATAGTAGAAAAAGAGTCGATACTCAGTTCTAACTGTCCATTCATGTACTTTCCATTACACCAAGTCCACTTTATGTAGGTAAGAGATTATATTACTTAGAGTTCTCCTAAGTGCATTAGAAACAGAACCAATAAGATGGGAGTGAATGTGTGTGTGCTTGTGTCATGTGTGTGTGCACACATATATATACAGGCACACCTCAGATATGCAGGTTTAGTTCTAGACCACCGCAATAATACAAATATTGCAATAAAGCAAGTCACATGAATTTTTTGGTTTCCCAGTGCACATAAAAGGTATGCTGATAATACACTGTATTCTATCAAGTATGCGATAACATTATGTCTCAAAAAACAACATATGTACCTTAATTTTAAAATACTTTATGGCTAAAAAATACTAATAATAATGTATCTGAACCTTCAGCAAATCATAATGTTTTTGCCTGTAGAGGGCCTTGCCTCAATGTTGGTGGCTGCTGACTGACTGCTCAGGGTGCAGGATACTGAGGTTGGGTTGGCTGTGGCAATTTCTTCAAATAAGGCAACAATGGGCTGGGCGCGGTGGCTCACACCTGTAATCCCAGTACTCTGGGAGGCCAAGGAGGGATGATCACTTAAAGTCAGGAGTTTGAGACCAGCCTGGCCAACATGGTGAAACCCCATCTCTTCTAAAAATACAGCAATTAGCCAGGCATGGTGGCAGATGCCTGTAATCCCAGCTATTCAGGAGACTGAGGCAGGAGAATTGCTTGAACCTGGGAGGTGGAGGCTGCAGTGAACAAGGCTGCATTCCAGCCTGGGCGACAGAGCAAGACTCCATGTCAAACAAAACAAAACAAAAGCAAAGAACAAATAAGGCAACAATGAGGTCTGCCTCATTGATTGACTGTTCCTTTCATGAAAGGAAAGATTTCTATGCTGTTTGATAGCATTTTACCTGCAATAGAACTTCTTTCCAGTTTGGATTCTGTCTTCTCAAACTTGTTACTGCTTTATCAACTAAGCTTATAGAATATTCTAAATCCTTTGTTGTTATTTCAACCATGTTCACAGCATTTTCACCAGTAGATTCCATCTCAAGAAACCACTTCCTTTCTTTTTTCTTTTTCTTTTTCTTTTTTTTTTTTTTTTTTTTTTTTGAGACAGAGTCTTGCTCTGTCACCAGGCTGGAGTGTGATCTCAGCTCACTGCAACCTCCGCCTTCCAAGTTCAAGCGATTCTTCTGCCTCATCCTCCCAAGTAGTAGCTGGGACTACAGGTGCATGCCATCATGCCCAGCTAATTCTTGAATTTTTAGTAGAAAGTGGGTTTCACCATGTTGGCCAGGATGGTCTTGATATTTTGACCTCATGATCTGCCCGCCTGGGCCTCCCAAAGTGCTGGAATTACAGGTGTGAGCCACTGGGCTCGACCTCAAGAAACCACTTTCTTTGCTCATCCGTAAGAAGCAGCTCCCATCTATTCAAGGTTTATCATGAGATTGCAGTAATTCAGTGACATCTTTAGGCTCCATTTCTTTTTATTTTTATTTTTCCTTCTTTTTTCTTTTAGGCTCCATTTCTAATTCTAGTTCTCTTGCTATTTCTACCACACCTATAGTTACTTTCTCTACTGAAGTCTTGAACACCTCAAAGTCATCCATGAGGGATAGAATCAACTTCTGGCCAGGTGCAATCGCTCACGCCTATAATCCCAACACTTTGGGAGGCTGAGGTGGGTGGATCATAAGGTCAGGATTTCAAGACCAGCCTGACCCACATGGTGAAACCCTGTCTCTCCTAAAAATACAAAAGAAAAAAAAATTAGCTGGGCATGGTGATGGGCACCTGTAATCCTAGCTACTCAGGAGACTGAGGCAGGAGAATCGATTGAACCAGGGAAGCAGAGGTTATAGTTAGCCGAGATCACGCCATTATACTCCAATCTGGGCAACAGAGCGAGACTTCATCTCAAAAGGAAAAAAAAAAAGAATCAACTTCTTCCAATATCCTGTTAATATTGTTCTTTTGACCTCCTCCCAAGAATCATGAATTTTTTTTGTTTGTTTTGTTTTTTGAGACAGGGTCTCACTCAGTCACCCAGGCTGGAGTGCCGTCTCGGCTCGCTGCAGCCTCTCCTCCCACATTCAAGCAATTCTCCCACCTCATCCTGTGGAGTAGCTGGGCTAGAGATGTGCCCCACCACACCCAGCTAATTTTTTGTTTTTATTGTTTGGTAGAGATGAAATTTTACCATGTTGGCCAGGCAGATCTTGAACTCCCGACCTCAAGTGATCCACCTGCCTTGGCGTCCCTAAGTGCTAAGATTACAGCTGTGCACCATCATTCCTTGCCAGGAATGATGAATGTTCTTAACAACATCTAAAAGTATTAATCATTTCCACAAGACTTTCAACTTACTTTGCCTAGATCCATCAGAGGTATCACTGTCTATGGCAGCTACAGCCTTCAAAAATGCTTTTTTTTTTTTAAATAATAAGACTTGAAAATCAAAATTACTCCTTGATTGGCTGCAGAATAGATGTTCTTCTAGAAGGCATGAAAACAACATTAATCTCTTTGTATATCTTCATCAAAGTTCTTGGATATCCGGGTACATTGTTAGTGCACAGTACTATTTTGAAAATAATCTTTCTTTCTGAACATAGGCCTCAATAGTGGGCTTAATATTTGGCAAACAATGCTGTCAACACATGTGCTGTCATCAGGCTTTGTGGTTCCATTTATAGAGCATGGGCAGATTTAGCATAATTCTTTTTTTTTTTTTTTTCTCATAGGGTAGGGGAAAGAGAAGTAATTAATTAGCATAATTCTTAGGGACGCTAACATTTTGCAAATGGTAAATGAACATTGGCTTCAACTTAAAGTTACCAGTTGCATTATTCCCTAACAAGAGAGCCTGTCTCTGGCAGCTTTGAAGACAGGCATTGACCTCTCCTCTCTAACTATGAATTCCCTCGATGGCCTCTTCTTCCAATAAGGCTGTTTCGTTTTCACTGAAAATCTTTTTTTTGTGTGTGTAGCCGCCTTCATCAATTATCTTAGCTAGACCTTCTAGATAACTTACTACACCTTCTCCATCAGTATTTGCTGCTTCACCTTGTGCTTTTATGTCATAGAGATGACATCTTTCCTCTTTTAACTTCAAACTTTTCTTCTGCGGCTTTCTTTTTTTTTTTTGAGACAGAGTCTTACCCTGTTGCCAGGCTGGAATGTAGCGGCGCAATCTCAGCTCACTGCAACCTCCACCTCCTGGGTTCAAGCAATTCTCCTGCCTCAGCCTCCCAATTAGCTGGAATTACAGGCACGAGCCTCTACACCCAACTAATTTTTTTGTATTTTTAGTAGAGACGGGGTTGCACCATGTTGGCCAGGTTGGCCTCTATCTCCTGACCTTGTGATCCGCCTGCCCCAGCCTCCCAAAGTGCTGGGATTACAGGCGTGAGCCACAGCACCCAGCCTCTTCTGGAGCTTTCTTAGCTCTCTATCTTTCAGAGAACTGAAGAGCGTTGGGGCCTTGCTGTGTGTTAGGCTTTGACTTTTGGGAATGTTGTGGCTGGTTTGATCTCCTATCCGGACCACTCAAACTTTCTCCAGATCAGCAATAAAGTTGTTTTGCTTTTCTATCATTTGTATGTTCACTGGAGTAGCATGTTTAATTTCCTTCAAGAACTTTTCCACTGCATTTGCAACTTGGCTAACAGTTTGGCCTAAGAGGCCTAGCTTTCATCCTCTCTCTGGTTTCACATCTGTGTGATTTTAATGTTTTACCCTATGGAAATCTAAATAATGTGATCTGCCTGGCTTGGCCTCCCAAAATGCTCGGATAACAGACATAAGCCACCATGCCCCGCCTGTGTTACACACTTTTAAACCATCAGATCTCACAAGAACTCACTCACTATTGCAACACAGTACCAAGGGGAAAATCTGCCGCTATGATCAGTCACATCCCACCAGGCCCCGCCTCCAACATTGGGGATTACATTTGACATGCAATTTGGGTGGGGACAACATCCAAACTATATCATCATCTTATATGGATGGGTGCAGTTCATGGTGCCCCAAAACAATTAAATAGTAACATCAAAGTCTACTGATCACAGACCCACAGACCGCCATAACAGAATAAGAATGAAAAAAATTGAAATACTGCAAGAATTACCAAACTGACACAGAGACATGAAATGAGCACATGCTATTGGAAAAATGGCACCCACAGACTTGCTTGATGCAGGGTTGCCACAAATCTTTAATTTGTAAATTGCAGTGAGCTGAGATTGAGCCACTGCACTCCTGCCTGGGCAACAAGAGCAAACTCTGTCTCAAAAAAGAAAAATATTTATAGCTGATTATAAAATCATCTTTTAAAGAGGACCACAGTGAGATAATTGTCTGTGGATGACAAAAACATTTTAGGGCAGCCACAGTTAAAGCCACAATTGACAAGGAAATTTACTTCTGTGGCACATAGTAATTTAACATAATTATAATTATTACTGATAACATATACTAAGTCATATTGGAATTATAGCAGTTTTACATGATTTGGGAACACATACCAATAGCACATTTACACAAATATAGACCAAAGAAAGCCATTT